ATCTATCTATCTATCTATCTATCTATCTATCTATCTATCTATCTATCTATCTATCTATCTATCTATCATCTTTTACTCACTCCTTTCCATTCTCTCTCCCAGTTGTCCATTTTTTCCTCTCCTATCCTGTGAACTGTTTATGCCACTGCAGTTGATGGCGGCAAGAGCTATGGATAATCTGGATGCCTCTTCTACATTATAGTGAAGATATGCAATTTAATTCCCTTCAGCACTGCAGTTAGTGAGAAATCTTTAAATGGGAGAATATTGTGTGTGCCCTAGAGTTTCTGTAAGGCACTCTCATGTATTTTGTCTTCTGCCAAAGAAAATGCACGTCTCTAAAAATCAATAGGCCTCTAGACTTCACTTTAAATGGAATAGATTTTATTTATTGATTTTATCATAACAGTTTCAAGAAAATACAACTTTAAGTCTAGCAGTGTAAATTAGAGAAAACAATCTCTCACTGCCTTTGTCAGCAGTAAATGCTAAGAACCACAAAGAAAGAAATGCCTATTTTCCACTAACTTTGGTGCAAAATCTTCTATCATGCTGACATAAATTTATGTGAGTGAAAAACCTGGTATGATATAGACCACCCTAGTCTTCCGTATCACATCCCAATTTCTGCTCATTTTGATTTTACAGTGTAAGAAATACCCTCCCCCCAAAAAAAACTATTTATACTGTAATCAGAAGCAATCCACTCATAACCTCACATATTTTCCCGACAGTACCTTGACTCGCTGCCTCAAGATGCCAGCTTATCTCTGAAAATGGCAAAGGATGAAATTGGAGATATTGATAGCAACAATCATAAGGCATAGCTGCAGATGCATAACTTTCATCCAATATAAATAAGTACTTGTAGAAATTCAGATCTATTTACTAATAAAGAAAAGCATGTACCTTCACCATACATAGGATTAAAAGAAACTACACTCAGTATAGAACTGAAAACATTGTTTCAGAATTAATCTTTTCTCCTCTCCAAGATAGATCAGCTGTATCTCCCCTTGATAATCCACATGCCACTTCGATACTGGTATAATTTTCTTTTCTATAGAGGCATTTGCCAGTATGGTCATGTCTAGTAATTAAGATCTGTGCTACTCTTTCCTAGCATTGTTCTTTCTGTTCTAGTTCTCAACTTTTTTGTTCTCTAGTTCTTTCAAAGCTTTATGCTTTGGATTGTTCCTGTCTTCACAAGCAACTTTTGTCTCAGAATATTCAGATACATCATCTCTTAATCTAATGGGAACATACAGTACTCTAATTTGACTAAGAAGTGTGAAGTGTTTGCCAATTTTTAAAATGATAAACAGCGGGAATCTAATGAACAACCTATGCTCCAGACATTTCTTTTAATTATCTGGGACCTGTTTTCTGTTCTCCTTACTATCAATCACAATAATTTCAACAATTATGCCCTATTGTTCATTTTCCTCTCAAAATTTCTATTTTTCAAACTAATTGTGTGCACATGTACTTTTAATTTTACTGGTTAGAGAGCCCTGTCATTTCCACATTGCCTCATTCCTTGGCATATGCATTCTTCTCTAAACCCATCTTTTTTTTTCCCCTAGGAGGGCAATGAAAAAAACAGCATACCAGTCCAAGCAATAGAAACTAAATATATTAATTGAGCCATTTTTCTCTTTTGAAATACAGATGCTTCTGAACGTGTTAGAAATAAAATCTGCAAGTTTGGTTATGAATGATAACTTAAGACATCCGTGGAGATAATACAGCATGAATCTGTAGTGTGTAGTCTTTGACAACTCATTTTTCTCATTGTCTGAAATATATGCAGTTTATTAATTTGATATACAAGTGAGCAAAGGATGAAAGTTTAAAATGTTGATGTGTGTTTGTATTCAGTATGAGACTACATCAGTTTGCCAATCCTTTCCTGTTAAGAATATAATTGCAACTCAAAGCAGGTTTTTCAGGATAATTGTTTTCCAGCTTTAAACAACCATGACCTAAAAAAAGAAACAACCAACCGCTTTGTCCATATTCAAAAGGACTACATTTTGGAAACTGAATGGTGAATTCCCTTTTTCTCCTTTACAGTCTTCAAAACACTAACTCTGAGTCTAGAGAAAAACTTATTGCTGGGCTATGACAACAAAGTCTAGGCTTCATTTGATTCCTTTTTGTTATCTGGGATACAACAAGAAAAAGAAGCATAAGAAGGGGATCAGAAGAACTAGAAGGTTAAATAAATGGCAAAGGAGATAGAAACTTAATTTGTGAAAATATTATCTTTAAGACTGTTGCATAGCTCCAAATAGTCCCAGTCAGTCAGTCTCTCTCTCTCCCCCCTCTCCATCCATTCCTTTGTATAATTGCATACCTGGTTAAAGGAAGAATCGCTATCAGAACAGTTATCTGCATAATAACTGTTGGGTGGTTCTGTTTTCACTTTTCTTTGCATCTCTTTGTAGCGCATTTGATCTTCTTCAAACTTGTTAATTAGCGATTCAACTACAACCATCATGACATTCTTCAGCGAATGCATCATTTCTCTATACCTTCAGTTAAAAAGTTATTTAAAAAAACAAATTATTAAAATTCATGTGTTGTATCATGTACAAAGTAACTTCCTAACACTCCAAGTTAGGAAGAAAATGTTACTGAAACTGATGAGTACTGTCTAAAGAAAAGTATACACTGAGATATAAACATGCAATCTCACATATACTTATTCAGAACCAAGTCCAACTGAATCCAGCAAGATTAATTACCATATATGAGTTCAGAATTGCATCCTAAGTCATTCTGAATTCAAAATATTATTTTCCACTAGACCAGTTCAAGATAATATAAAGATGGACATTACAGGCAGTCCTCGACTTACAACATTTCATTTAGTGACTATTCAAAATTACAACAGAACTGCAAAAAGTGACTTATGACTGTTTTTGTCATGCCCGGTGGAGACTGACTCTGAGGGAGAGGAGGAACAGCCGGCAGGGAGTGGAAGGGTGGCTCTGGAGGTTGTGGAGGAGGCTGGGGAAGGGCAGAGGCCGGCTGAGCAGTCAGAGGAGGACCCAGGCCCATCCCCTATCCATCCTAGGGCACGCAGGGAGGAGAGGATAAGGGAGAGACGTGGTCTACTCGGGAGGAGAGGGCCTTGATCCTCTTCATGGGCTGCAGGTGTGAGAACTGCATAAGAGTTTGGACCTGTGTTCTGGCAAACGCTGGAGACAAAGCGTGTTTTATTTTGATTTGAGGTTATCTTGGTTGGCATCCTTCCAACAGACTGTGCCTTGTTATCTCCTTGAATTTAGTAAATAGTTCTGTTCCATTGTGGAAATTTCATCATTGTAGTTTGTTTGGTTTTTATTTTCACCTCTATCTGCTCATTAAATTCAGACTGTATTGCTTTCTTTTGAAGATTATTTTTGAGTATGTTTTATCTCCAACCGAGAATTATTGAACAGTGGGGCCAAGTTGGAGGCATTAAAGGACATTTATTTACGTTTTGGATTTTGTTACGTTTGTGTTATACTTCGGGTTATCACAGTTTTTCACACTTATGACTATTGCAGCATCCCCATGGCCATGTGATAAAAAAATCAGACGCTTGGCAACTGACTCATTTATGATGGTTGTAGTGTCCTGAGGTCATGTGATCCCCTTTTGCAACCTTCAGACAAGCAAAGTCAATGGGGAAGCCAGTTTCACTTAATAACTAACTTAACAATGGCAGTGATTCAATTGCGGCCAGAAAGGTTGTAAAATGGGGCAAAACTCACTTAACAAATGTCTCATTTAGCAACAGTAATTTTGGGCTCAGTTGTGAGTTGTAAGTCAAGGACTACCCGAATACCTCATTTCCTAAACAAAAATACCCTGCTTTATTCAAAAATCCAAATTAGTATTGGAAGAACACCATCCAACGTTTTAGATTCCCAATTATTTAGCAGAATACAGGCATGATACCTAAACATTACAAAACATCAAGGTTATTTTTAGTAGCAATTCTTGTAATTCTTAGGTGAATGTATTCAGCACTTGTAATCATCTGTGCGTTTTGGTTGGGATTACTGTTTATATCAACTTGTGATTACAACTGTATTACTATGCTCTAGCAGATTCTAATGCTGTTATTTATGCATTTCTCTAAACAACATTTCCACCTCTTAGAATGGTATGTTGTGTTAATAAACCAAGGAGAAATGTATGAATGCATCACACTTGCATAATTCTGGTGAGATTATGTAAAACATAAGAAATTGTCAAAGACTCTTATGAAATGATGAATTGAACAGAAAGCTTGAGATATTGTATATCATTTTCAAGTGTAGAATGGGAGGGAGGGAGGGAGGGAGGGAGGGAGGGAGGAAGGAAGGAAGGAAGGAAGGAAGGAAGGAAGGAAGGAAGGAAGGAAGGAAGGAAGGAAGGAATTAAAAATTACAAATATATATTTACAGAGGCTTTAGGTTTTGCTTTGGATATTGAATAATTAGAGGCCCTCACACAGGTATGAATGCTGCATGACTAGAAGATAAATAATATTTATGCTTTTTAAGGACTGACTTCAATTAAAAAAAAAAAAGAACCTTGCCTAGCTAGCTCAATTCCTGAATGTAAATAAATGGCTTATTAAAAATACAGCAGGCCACACATGCTAATTTATAAAAGCAATTAAGTACTGATTAAGTAACAGAGTTTTTCACAATGACATTTCTAATTTCCTTTTACGGAATGTGGCCATCCATATATCACTGCAATTAACTATTAAAACATTTGTAAGATTGATCTCATCATTAGAGTTGGACATTGAACATTCCTGCACAGCGTTCCTTTCGCTCTTGATATTTCTGCCTTTCTATCATATGAACTACTGCCTGACAGTTTTATATGTGATTTTACTAAAAACAATACACCTTTCCCATTATATTTTGTCTGACACAAATATTTCCTCGCGTGTTGGGAAAGAAACATTTCATTAAGCATATTTGTTTTCTTTCTGTTATCAGTTGTAGCAATTTGTTAATACAGTTTCAATTTTTAAATGGCTACCATATATTACTAAAACCATAAAATCTAAATTCTAATCAAAAGATTATCTATGTGTGCAAAAGTACTAATGTGTGGCCTGTATTGCCAAGCTCAGAAAACAACAGCACATCCGTTAGCATTATCTTCAGAAATGAAAATCTCCCTTAGTACAAATAGTCCTTGACTTATAACCACAACTAAGCCCAATATTTCTGCTGCTAAGCAAGACATTTGTTAAGTGAATTTTGCCCCATTCTGCGCCCTTGCTTACCACAGTTATTAAATGAATCATTGCAGTTCTTTAATTAATAACATGGCTAAGTGAATTTGGCTTACCCATTGACTTTGCTTATCAAAAAGTCGCAAAAGATGATCGCATGACCCCAAGACACTGCAAACATCATAAATAAGAGCCAGTTACCAAGCATCTGAATTTTGATCATGTGACCACAGGGATGCTACTATGATTGGAAGTATGAAAAATAATAAATCATCACTTTTTACAGTGCTGTTGTAACTTTGAATTGTCACTAAATGAACTATTGTAAATTGAGGATGACCTGTAGTATTATTTTATCCTGTACTTCTTTAAGATATCCTGCACTATAAAATTGTTAAAGACAGGCAGAACTTTAATGTTGAAAAATTAGTATTCAGTGAGCTTTAATCTTTGTCCTTCTGTTATTTTTTAAAGACATTTTTATGTTTGCTTAACAACCCAGAGGGGATTATATTCAGAACACATCCTTCCTTTGTACTACTATTTGGAAGGAATCTTGTATCGCATAAGTTGACTATATTTCTCACACTGCTTTTTCCTAAAGGTATTTTATGTAATAAAGAACGGTAAAGCTGAACATTGGAATTTGCTTAAGAGGAAAATAGGGATAGAATCGTAAACTGGTGTGGGGCTATTTTAACAATCAATACTAATCCTTTGTTCAGTGCAGAAAAGCATCGCATTGCCTAATGGCAAGTTTGAAGGCCAGAGCCGTGTCACTTTTCAGTAGTTCCTACCTGCCTGAAGTTCACAAATTAAGAATGTTATTTTGAAAGCACACAAATATTTTATTTATTTGTGTGTGTGTGTGTGTGTGAGAGAGAGAGAGAGAGAGAGAAATAGGAGCTACATATTGATTTGAAGAGGCAGCTTTCTCCAAATATGTAAAATGAACAATAATCTGATAAAACAAGGAGCAAGGTAAACAAGAAATTTGTAAGAGTGGTTACATTATTCAAAAAAAAAAAAAACCACCATAAGAAATGTTATAAGACACTCAAACTCAAAAACAAGTAGAAAGGAATAATTTACAGGTAGTCCTTGGTTTACAACAGCTCACTTAGGGACCTTTTGATGTTACAACAGCACTGAAAAAAGTGACTTATGACCATTTTTTACACTTATGAACGTTGCACCAGGGTGGGATGCTATCGGTTCTGCCCTGCTCTTTAGAACCGGTAGCTCTGAAGGGCAGCAGACACCGAACTGGTTCTGTGTTTGCTGCTGTTTGGCCCACCTGCCCGCTTGGGCTCTTACCTGACCTTTATTTCCTGCTTTTTCAACCTCAGCTGCTTTGCACATCACAGCTGAGGTTGAAAAAGCAGGAAAAAAGAGGCTTTTCAAACGCTGCGCATTTGTGCGCTGCGCTTTTCAGCTCTCCGGGCGGCACAGCTTAAAGTGTTTTTACACGCGCGTGCAGCAAAACAGTCACCGAACCGGTAGTTAACACCAGTTGAATCCCACCCCTGCAGCATCCCCATGGTCACGTGATTTACATTTGGATGCTTGACAACTGACATTTATGACATGAGGTCATGTGATCACTTTCTGCAAACCTTCTGACAAACAAAGTTAAGGGGAAAGCCAGATTCACTTAACAATGGTGCTACTAATTTAACAATTGCACTGATTCACTTAACAAAATGTGGCAAGAAAAGTTGTAAAATGGGGCAAAACTCACTTAACAAATTTCTCAGTTAGCAACATAAAGTTTGGGCTCACTTGTGGTAATAAGTTGAGGACTACCTGTAATTAGGCATTTGCTTTTGGAAATTGAGTTTTAGATATGTTTCTACATATACTTACTCCTTTGATTCCCGGGTCTTTTTAGTAACATGCTGTACCAGAGTGTCATAATTCGAACCTTCCCCCTGATTTTGGGCTGATGTACATTTTTCAGTTTCTTCTTCTATTACGGACCCCAAGATGTTACTTATATATTCTCTAAGATACTTTACAAATTCATAGCTGTAATAACAATTAAAATGTAAAACATTATGCTTAATGTCAATTTGTTTTTAATAATAAACATATTTCATCAAGCAACTATAAGTATATTCGATAACCATGGTAAAGACTACATGGACATTTTGGAAGAATTGTAGAGGTTAAGTGAAACTGGACATTAAATTCAGACACCAAATAGCATCTGAGACCTGTATGTCAACTGAAAATGTTGAATGTCTTTTCCCCTAATTAAAGAAAATGATTGCTTAAAGCAGAGTTCACCAACCTCTGGGCCATGGCCCACTACCAGGCCGTGGCCTATTCAGATTTGGCCCACAAGTGGCTGGCCAGTGTGTGCGCATGTGCAGCTCAACTTGTAGAAGCAGCGGGACAGCAGGCAGTCATACTTGTGCATGCCAGCCTGCTGCTTGTGCAAGTTGAGCTGTGCACATGCACACCGGGCCATCACTCATGCAAGGGTTATGTGTGCACACGTACACACACCAGCCCACAGCTCATGCGACTGTTGTGGCCTGCCAGCAGCTGATGGAGCTGGCAGAAGAGTCAGACAGTAGTGAGGAGGTTGGGGAGGAACCTGGGCCTGGCCCAGAGGATGAAGAAGATCTGGAGGAGGGTGCTGCATCAGAGGCAGAGATGGGGCCAGGGCAGGCTGGAAGTCAGCAGCTGCCTTCAGACTCAGACAGCAGTGAGGTGGGGGAGCTTATGGAACCGGTTCCCAGCCTGCAAATGCACAGAACTAGTAGAAGACAAGAACAATTGAGAAAGCAGGGTTGACTCAGGAGTAAGGCCACACTTCAGAGATGAATGGCCCCTCCCATAGGACATAAAAGAGGAGCAAACGGGACGTGAGCTTTTGCAGGAAGCAATTAGTTTGTTTGCCCAGAACACACACTTTGAAAAATCCTGTTTGACGCTGTTTGCCCTGCTTCTGGCAATTAGTTCTCTGGCTGCATTCCAAGTGTGATAAGTGGGTGTTTATCAACATTCCCTGAAAGACTGTATGTGAAGTCTTATGAATGAACGTAATTCACAGCTGTGAAATAAAAGGTTTTGCTGGGATGAAGATTGTGTTCTATGCTTTCTAAGGAAGCCTAGGAAGCCTAGAACAGTGACCCAGTTCCCCTTCCCCAACCTGCCGGGCCACCAGATTAGAGAAACTGATGGTTGGAATAACAGAAGAAGTAAATACAAGTACCCACTTTATGCTATATTCCAAAGCTTGAAATAGTGCAATTAATATCTATTAGGCACATTATTTACAATAATTATACAGTCCTGTTTTCTTGACAAAATTTTAGAAGTAGTTTGCCCTGGCCTGCTTACTAGGGTGAGAGAAAATGAACAGCCCAAGGTCACCCAACTGACTTTGTACCTAAAGCAGGTCTAGGATTTGTGGGCCCCTGGTTTCTAGGTTGGTGCCTTAACCACTAAGGAAGAGTTCTGAAGGAAGAGTTTCCCTTTTAAAATTACCACAATATCACAAAATCATGTCAACAAATTACTTATGAAAGTTCTCATCTGTTTCTTCCAAATGGAGTAGAATCTCTTCGGCACATTCTACAGATGGTGCTCCTGTGATTTTTTCTTTGACACTTTGCAATAACTGTCTGAGCATAGGTTGCAAGAGAGCTTCATCTTCAATAGAAAAATGAGACATCTACAGAGAGAAACACAGAAGCAAAATATGAGTGATCGACCCCTGCAAGATCTTATTAACCAGCTATAAAGTAAACATAATTTATCTGTTGGTTTGTAAATACTGTGTGGGGATCTTGAAAGTCTACACTCTACCCCTTCTTAAAAAGTCAGATGAGAGAAACTAGAAATTACAGGTTTTAATTTATGGCCCCATTCTCTGGAATATCCTGTCTAAGAATTCCATAAATAGTACTCTCTCTTGGTATCAAAGAAAATGTTAAAGATGTGATTCTTCAGGAGAATTACTACTTTAGACAGTTGAATGTGTGACATATATTGAAGAATTATAATAGTACATTTAATGATATATGGTTTTCAGTTTATCATTTAGTTATATTTTGTCTTACGCTATAAATATTCTGTAGTCTGTTAGGTATAAAAATGAAGTAAAGAATTAAATTATACTATGTGTATAAACATAGAAGGCAAACGAAAGAATAATATCCTAAAGATTAACAAGGAAGTCACAACGATGGACTATCTCTAACCTCAGATATTCTACCTCCTTCTGCAGCAAGGGAGCATAAGGCAAAAAAAAGAACCATGTGTTCAACTTTAGGGTGAAAAAATGGAATTCAAAATGTTGCCTGCTAATATAATTGATGTAGTTCCCAGGTAATTCTAAGCCAAAATTCTATGAGTTTACTTATTGCTTCACAATGTCTAAAATACCAAATATTTACAAATAAACTTGGGATTCTTAACCAACACTTTAAATTTTGCCTAACAAGTACATGAAAAATTTAGATTGTTCTCAAACATGTCACAGATACTATTAGAGTACCAAATTCTCTTAATTGGCTAATAGGGAGGAATCCCAACTAAAGATTGCTTGTGCCTCTTTGGGAATGTTGTCCCAAAGGTAAAGATGCAACTGGACTTTCTGATTTTTCTTTGAAAACATTTTGCTTCTCATCCAAGAAGCTTCTTCAGCTTTTCTGTTGAAGAAGATTCTTGGATGAGAAGTAAAATGTGAAAAAACAGGGAGTCCAGTTGCCTCTTGAAAAACCATCTCTGGGACAACCATGGCCTGGATTACTGAGAATCCCCATAGACCTTCAGGAACGTTCCATTCTGTGCAATGCAAGCTTCATTCATAATAACCACCCATCTTAGCAAGTGACTTTTCCATCCATCACACTGCACATGGCAATACTAAAATGGTATGCTTGCAACTGCCTGACAAGCCAAGTACATGAAAAATTTAGATTGTTCTCAAACATGTCACAGATACTATTAGAGTACCAAATTCTCTTAATTGGCTAATAGGGAGGAATCCCAACTAAAGATTGCTTGTGCCTCTTTTCACTTATTAAAGTAAAATTTGAGGTTCCTTTCCACCACTAGCCAATTGATTTCTTGAAGCCTGCATTATTTTTATTATTTTGCATTTTTGTAAATATATTGCTAATTAATTAAGAGAGCTTGGTAGAATAGTTAAAAGTGCTGGCCTAGAAATCAAGAGATATGAGTTCTCAGCCTCTCTTAACCCAATGGGTTACTTTGTGCCAGAAACTCTCTCTCTCAGTCCAACACACAACACAGGGTTATTGTGGAGAAAATATAGTATTGTGGGTAGGTGGCAGGAGTATTAGTTATGTTTGCCACCTTGAAATAAATATAAAAGGTGGGATGAAAATAATTAAAATAATTTGATAAGATTTCACTTATCAACTATCAAATTTTGCTCATTTGTAACTATTAAATGGAAAAAAGGACACTGTCTCTTCCTTAAAAATGTAGTTGAATATGTAGTACAATAACTGGAATATATTATCTCAGTTTGCCTCTGGCTGGGAAACAATTAAGAGTATAATTGTTTTTACAGGATATGGATAATTAGAGTACATCCACCAATGTTTGTTTCAGATTTGTTGTATTGTATATCCTAAATGAGCAAAAACTTTTATGCAAGACCAAGGAATTTTATAGGAACCTCATTTGGAATGTTACTCTTTTTACAGTCTGCCCCAATTGACAGGAATTACAGGAGCTGAAGTCATATGTTGTACAAAAAGTATTCACTTAACAGAGAATAAAAACTTCAGTAAGACAGTTTAATTTCACAGAATGAAATTCCTATTTGAGTAAAGCCATACAACCATAACCAGCTATGGGCATCCTTTGTGAACCCACTTAGTACAAAAATAGTAAATTCTACGAAGATCTGAGTTTGATTCCTGATCACTACTGTGACACATACATGTTGTGGGATGGGGATGGGTATTGGTGGCAACAACATACAAGTAATTTGCCCTTTCATTTTTTGGAGATATTACTATTCAGTCTTAAGGAATGATTTCCCATCCGAGTTTTAATCAAGCTTAATCCCGTTTAGCTTTTCCCAAATCAGCCACCTTTGACTAGTCACTGCCACCTGCTGCCATCAACCAGCGAATTAGTATCCGTAATTTGTATTTCTTACAAAAGGGGCAAAGCTAAATTTGGAGTAAATCCTATCGAGCTCAATAAAACTTCCTTCCAAGGATACCTAATCATGCACGAAGCATCAAAATCATGTGCTGACATTCTCTTGATTTTAAGGGGATGGGCTTGGCGTTAACACAACGTTGGAACAAATGCAAGAAATGCGAGATCGGGTAAAAAGGCGCTGGCACATGAGAATCTGCCGCTCTCTTAAATGCGTGGATGTAGAAGCATCTCAGGTGCGGTAGGGTTATGGAGCCCTGGACACGGGAAACAGGACTACAATGTTGAAAATCTCTGTAATACGGATAAACCTATATATAAGCGGTTTGGAGGGGGGAATTATGATTACCATTAATCTGTGTTTTGCCGGGCCGAAGCTCTGTTCAAAGGGGGACCGCTCCAGCCAGCAGCCGACAGTCCAGATCCCAGGAAAATGCCCGGGATGTGAGGCTGGGCGGACCCGACGATGGCGGCAACGGCGGCGGCAACAGAAACGGATGAGAAAATAAGTGAGGCACTCAGGAAGGAGAAACGGGGGCAGTGCTTCCGCGCCAGAGTCGCAGGCACAGACGCCTCGCCCCTCTGGTCTCCTATTGGTCCAAACAGAGTGGGGGAGTGGCCATAAAACTTGGATATAAGGATGCTGTTACACCGCGAGTTAAGGGTTTGGGTGTTTGGATAGTTAATGTTAAGTGTGGCGGGCGGTCTTGTGCAATAGTAAGGCTTCTCCCACCCCCTTCGAAAAGAAATCCTGCGTATTATATCATTACTGAAACTATGGTGGATTTACTCCACGGTAAGCGCAAGTTTCTAGGTTTCCCTCCCTCTTTAGCCAAATGCTCGTCCTGATAATGTAACAGTGTATGCTACCTGACTCTCAACTCTGGGTAGAACACAATTTATCCAGGCGGGGTAGTGATCAGAAAGTATACAAAATATAGATTTTATTTTCCATATAAGGTTTTCTTAACCATTCATGTTTTAATAGTTGTTTTTTTTCTTCTGGGCTCCTTTGCTTATGTTGTGAATTGTTTTCATTTAATACTATATTTTGTAACATCCATTTTACTCTCTGAATTCAGAAGAGACCTAACCCTAATTTTAAGTGGATTTGCACGCCAATGGGATTCTCAAGTATTTTACCAGGAAACATAGGGCTGGCTCAAAAAAACGAGACCCCCTAAGCATACTGATGCACTATGAATCCATTGGTGACATCCATTTTGCTCAGAGTTCATGGTGACCTAAACCTAACACTTAAGTGGGTTTGCCCCCAATGGGATATTTGTATGTATTTTTGCAGGAAATGTAGATGGCCATGCTCAAAAAGTCAGTGACCTCGTAAGCATAATGGTGAACCGGCAAATAACACCTCTCTCTGGAGATTTTACAGTCTCTTTCCCCTGCCACGCCCACCAAGCCACGCCCACAGAACCAGTAGTAAAAAAGGGTTGAATCCCACCACTGCTCCTCATCCTAATTAAGTGACCCAATGAAAGTTTCCCAAATGTTTTACCTGGAAACATAGATAGGATGGGCATGGAAAGTGTGCCCTTTTAAACATATCGATGTGCTATGAACCCATTGGCAACATATTTTTTTTTCTCCGAGATAATGGAATCAATCCTAGGTATGTTGGCCTTCTAATGGAATTTTCCCATATATTTTACCAGGAAACATAGGTCTCAAAAAGTGAGGAACCCTGGTAGCATACTTCAAATGCTGTATTGCAGGCTAACTCTTCCCAAAGTCTGGAATTTCACCCTGACTCAAGGTTGACTCAGCTTCCAAGGTCGGTAAAATAAGGACCCAGATTGTTGAGAGCAATATGCTGTCTTTTTAAAATACTCAAGACGCTTCTGGACATTAAATGTTGATTAAAAATATCCCAATCTTCTGAAAAAGTAAAACACTATATTAGATGCTAAGAAAACTACTTTTAGCAAAAGTAGCATTCCTTTTCTGTTTTCCTTTTACAAGATTTTAATGAGATGCTATATTGCCTCTCTATTTTTCTAGCTTTTGCTTTTTGCTAAATCACTGAATAATTATATTGCTTCTACATTTCACTTCTTGTTTATTCGCCTTATGGTGGTGTTAGATATTAGATTGCATATAACTCAGTATAATACCAAGCTACTGATTTTCATCATTTAAACAGATGTTTCTGTTGCATATGGGAAAAGATATGAGCAAAATATTGTAAATTGTTGATATTTCTTCTTTAACATGTATTGAAGGAAGAACAGAATGCAACGACTACCCTCATTTCACGGATATATTAACTACAAATAGTACCAAAATGAGGCAATGCATGTTTGAATTCCATGTCTTTTGTGAGTTTTCACCGTTAAATTTGCAACAGATGGTGCAATGTTATGGCCATATTGTTTGTTTCTGTATTTTCTGTTCTTCCTAAACAATGGAGAAATAGCATAATCCAGAACTCTGCTTTGCTACTGTGTTGTTAATATACTTGTTTTCAATGAGTCACTCCTGAGCTAAAATTCGCTTACTTGAGAAATCCAGAATGAAAATTTTTGACTGGGGATGTGGATATTACGAAAAATTATGCTTGCCTATAGGCGTATGTCCACATCTGTCTGACTTCCATGTATGTTTCTGTCTGTCTTCTATCAAGAGATAATTATCGGTAATCACGTGAACTTAGAATGACACATAAACTAAGCCTCACAAAGAGGCTTTTGAATTGAATATCTTACCAGCACACAGTTCCATTCCAGGTATTGAATTATCTATCATTAGTTTTTATTTCATTTTTTTGCTTGTGTAAAGTCTCATAGCAATAAAATTTGAGAGCTAGGAAGTCTAATTATCTTTGATACTATGTTGATATCCAAGATATTTTAAAAAATTATTTTTTAAATCAGCAAACTGAACAATGTTATTCATATCAAACTGATTTCTATATGTGAATGCATGTTGCCAAATTTAGTGTGAAATCCAACCTGTGTCCAAACAACAAAATCTCACCCCTTTTCCTCCCCAAAATCTTGTTCTGCTTATTGGCAGCAACTTCTGGCGTAGATTTGGGTGATGGGTATATTTTTATTTACACAAAAAGAAGACTGGGTTTCTCCCCCAAATAACTTACTTTTTAAATGGAAGTGTTTGTTTATATTCGACTGAGAATAATGAATGTGGAAACAGATGAACTTTCTTCAGTCTAATGTTCCTTTTTGTGTGGGAGGATTATCTTAAATTCAGATACTTTTTTCCTTTTAGGGAAGTGCAGAATTTTTTTTTTAAATGATGGCTTCACTTAACACAGCGGTCCCCAATCTTTTTGATACCAGGGACCAGTTTCTTGGAAAACAATTTTTCCACAGACTGCGGGCTGAGGAGGGAGAAGGAGCTCCAACCTAGATACCTCACATATGCAGTTTACAGTAGAGTTTGCGCTCCTATAAGGACCTGGTGCTGAGATGGAGCTGAAGCTGTGATGCTGGCACTGGAGAGTGGCTGCAAATACAGATGAAGCTTCGCTTGTTTGCCCGCCATTCACCTCTAACTATGCAGCACAGTTCCTAACAGGCCACAGATGTGTACCTGTCGATGGCCCCATGGTTGGGGATCCCTGACTTAATACCAAAATGTTCTGACAAATGGTTATCCAACATCTTTTTTAAAACTTCTAGCGTTGGAGCATTCACAACTTCTAGGGGCAAGTTGTTCCACTGATAAATTGTTCTGTCAGGAAATTTCTCCTTAGTTCTAAGTTGCTTCTCTCCTTGTCCTGCCCTCAGGTGCTTTGGAGAATAGTTTGATTCCCTTTTTTGTGGCAGTCCCTGAGATATTAAAGCACTGCTCTTTGGTAAAATTCTAATTCTAATTTTATGCAGTCAAACAGGGTTTTTTTGTCTGTTTCTGGATAAAACAAATATGCAACCGTTGTACACAACTAAAAGCTAAGGTCCAGCCTACTTTTGTCTGACTCCCATAAATCCATTCACATTTTAAGGCCATTGCAGTGATACTTTAAAAGCAAGCCAATTAAGATTCCATCTGTTTCCCAGTTAAAATGAGTATAAACTAATTCAGGTGATAGCTCTTGTAGTTAGTTAATGACTATTCCTTTTCTCTCAGGCTGGTTTAAGCACAACTGCTAATTCAGTCATTGCAAGTAAACTTGCCAAATTTATTCTTGACACCCAGTAAACAATCTGCTCTTTAAAGAAAAATGGCATGGGTAAGGATAATTGTTTTGAAATTGTTTTTCTTTACGAATATTTGAATTGATTGTTGGGCCACCAAAACCACAGGTGAATTAGTTAGCCATACACATTTAAATAAAAATAATGGAAATAATATACCATGGAAACCTTGCTTTTTACATAGTTTTCACCATATAGTTTAATTTTTTAAATTTTCCAAGTGTCAACCATAAATAACAAAGGTTAATGTTTCTCTTTCTGCATCCTCAATTTCTAGTTCCTAATATTATGGAGTTAAACATTTAAAAGGGATATCTTACTAGGCATACCATGATCATGTATTGATTACTGAAGCTGTGCACTATGTGTGGGAGTTTGGGTATGAGTATATATAGGCTTGTGTCTATTTATCCAATCACCAGCATATGAAATGCTATATTAACACAAAGTTTGTGAAGGGAAGAGAGTGTTGCTATTAAGGACAATGTTAGGATTATTGCTTCACTCTTAGTTTCTACTGTCCTTAACTGTTCACTCCTTGCTTTTATTATCGAGGCATAATTTTGTTGCTACAAAACCACCCACAAATGGTACCACAGTGTAAAATTAACTGCTGCCATGAAGATCTATATGCTGATATCCAACACTTATCTACTGTTACTTTTGCATACCAAAAGATGGAACCAATGTTGAGGAAAGATTCACTAGAAGTACTTCTTCCGGATATTCTCTACTTAATAAATACCTCTTGTGGTTCTTGAACAAGAAATTACTTTGGCTACATGTGCAAATGTAGTGCTATTCCTTCCCTGACCATCTTTATTCAGATATATTTTGGCTGCTTTGTTATCATCTGTGGGCAGAGTTGTATGAGCCCTCAGGAATGTTGTCCCAAAGGTAAAGATGCAACTGGACTTTCTGATTTTTCTTTGAAAACATTTTGCTTCTCATCCAAGAAGCTTCTTCAGCTTTTCTGTTGAAGAAGCTTCTTGGATGAGAAGTGAAATGTGAAAAATGTGAAAAAACAGGGAGTCCAGTTGCCTCTTGAAAAACCATCTCTGGGACAACCATGGCCTGGATTACTGAGAATCCCCATAGACCTTCAGGAACGTTCCATTCTGTGCAATGCAAGCTTCATTCATAATAGCCACCCATCTTAGCAAGTGACTTTTCCATCCATGACACTGCACATGGCAATACTAAAATGGTATGCTTGCAACTGCCTGACAAGCCACAGGGTGATGGCAGGTCTTCACTGAGTAGGGGTGGAAAGTTCATAGGTCACACAAAAGTCTTCAATTTTTTTCTGTGTCTGCTGAAA